TGACAGAACATGAGGGTCTGCTGGATTTCTTTTCTCTTCTTGTTTAAAAAGCCTCTCCGGCCTTTTGTTTGTTTGCTTCGTGTGTTGGAGTGAGAACATAATTCCACTAAACTCTCGTCTTCGGGTTGCGAACGTCGCCGCTGAAGAGGCCTCTGTGTTTACTGTACGCCTGTTTTCCCTTTTGTCTCTCGTCTTCGTCTCCATATTCTCGTGTTTATCTAACCGACTCTTCTTTCCTTTCATGCTGCTCTTTCCCACAACCCCTCTGCCTGACCTCCTCCCTCCTCTCCTCTCCTCTTCGCTCTTTTATTTACGTGATCTTCGCTCATCCCCACATCTGCAACTTTCTCTGTCTTTGCAAATCCACTCTCCTGCCCGTCTTCCCTCCGTCCTCTCCGTCCCCCCGCTGCCTCTCCGGCCTTCTCGTAGATGAAGCGGAGGATGCCGCCGTGGGGATCCGGCTTCGGAAGTGGGAACAGGTCAGTGGCTTTGACCCCTGACCCCCTGACCTCCGACCTTAAAAACAACAATTTTCTCACATTTTCCAGGCTTTCACCAACTCGTACAGTCGACCTTCAACACAACAATTTAGCTTTCAGGGAAATACACTCATTAACTTTCCTGCCCAGACGAAACATTTAGGTTTCTGACAAACAGTCGCGTTTAATGTTTGGCAATCTTGTCGCAAGTTTGCAGCAAGATTATGGTTTCATATGCAAATTAGATTTGTGGAAAGCTTGCAGTGGACTTCCTGCTTACTCGGCTTTACTGGAAAACTTTACTGGAAAACTTCATCCATTAGCTAAACCCACTTGATCCTCTGGAGGGTCACAGGGAGGCTGAATTCTGTCCCAGATGACAACAAACAAGTAGTATGAGACATTCATAGACTGTATCGACCCTGAAGAGGCCTCCAGTTCATTGCATGGTCAGCATACATCCATAGATACTGTGGGAGGAGCAGGAACAGCAGCCAGGTATGAAAAAGGTGCAACGAAAAATCAGTCTTACTCTTAAAAACTGCATGAAATGTGAATTTTGCAGCAAACTAGCCATAAATTTTCCACATAGTTAGTCAGAAGTCCACAGCTAGTTTACCACAAATCTAATTTTCATGTGAAAATGTGGGAAAATATGTCAGATTTGTAGCAACACTGCTAAAGTTTAAAGGGCCTTTCACACAGGACACGGGATGCACTGCTAGCACAATAAGCAGAGTTTCTAAAACTTCCAATGGGGCGACTTCCTTTAAAGCAGGAAGCTTTTAGTTTGGTGTAAATGCTTGAGCAGTGAAGATGTATTCGTCCCATGTTAAGAAGCAAGAGTTACCACTGGCCTTGTTGGTAAGAGGAAGAAGAGGAAGCAGCAAACTAAACCGTGGCTGAATTAAACCCTCAGTTGAATCTTGTCTGTGAAGGTTCTCAGTCATCCAGGTCATGGTTCTTCTCGTAGGTTAATCGTAGCAACTGGACTTGCTTGAGTGTCTTGAAGACGTTCCACTTCTCATCTAAGAGGCTTCATCAGGTCTGACTGACTAGTTGGGAGTTCCAGATACCTTACTATTTTGTAGGAGCCATTAACACCTGAGTTTGGGGGTTTGTTGCTCCTCCCCCTCGTTATTAGTGGTTAGGACTCCCCACAGTGGGGTTCAACGTCTGTGTTTGTTTCAGGTGAATCATATCACTTGGAAAAATCTCTCATGCTCAGCACCAGCTTTTCCTCCACTTTTTCCCTCCATGCTGCAGGAGATGCCTCATTTTTATTGGTCATACAGAAAAGGGTTAAACATACTGAACATGTTTGCAACCTCATCTCAAAGCCATTGAAATAAATGAGCTGCATCCTGTATGAAAGGCCCAATATCTGCTAGAAAACTAGAAATAATACCAGTAATAGTACCCGGAATGTGGAAGACCCCTCTAGTGAAGTTTCTTACCTTCTTAATGCGTCCATTTGGTGTTCTTTATGTGCTGTAGATATCATGACAACGCCATGACTGGTCATTATTGCTGCTGAAGTATGTTCCCCAAACATCTGGATACTCTGGTTTGTAGGACGGAGTGTCTCTGTAGCACCACGATGCTTCATTTAAAATAATATCAACACATTTAATCTTTACCAGAACACTACAGCTCCTTTAGTTTTATTATTCCACATGTCCATTGTGATTTTAAATTACTTCGGTGATTACTACAGAGCTGTGACGTTGAGTTTTCCTGCAGGAAGTCAAACTTCACCAGGATTCATTTCTTTTTTCCTAAATACGAGGCTAACATCAGCCTCGTCCATCTCCCTCTGTGGCTCTTCCCTGTTTCACTTCGTTCATAGACGACGTCTGTGTTTGTTTCTGTCTGTATCTGTTTCCTGGAGATGTTATTAAGGCTCCTGAGTCGATGTGTTTGTGATGAACTCTTGGCTCTACTGTGTCTCTGTGGCAGCGCACAGGAAATGGAAACACAACAGCACCATGTGTTGTGTTTACGACCACGAGATGCAATATTCCAAATATTAAAGCGATCCAGATACCACAGCTTCACCGACTCCTGTGGATCGGTTCATCTCAGCGGTTTCTGCTGATAAAAATAATAAAAAAAAAAAATCTGGAAACGAATCGGTGACGATGATTCTCGCGACTTTAACGAGAGTTTAGATGCTGATAGTAGCCGCTGGTTACATAATGGTAAAACTGACGACAGACTCTCAGCGCGTCAACAAACGCTGTGGAATGTACCATCTGTTTCTATCATACACAACTCACTGTAAACACAGTTGACAAGAAGTTCTCCAGTCGCTTCCTTAATGGAGAGAAGGAGGCCGATCGCGCCGACGGCAAACATGGAAAACACGGACGTCATGCCGAACGGGTTCTGGATCATATTAAACATGATGTAGTTTGTGTTTTGTAAGACAAAAAACTAACCGTGCAGCGTTTTCCTGGAGCTTTTAACCATTATCTTCATGAGCAGTTGACGTCTGTTGATAGAGAATCTTATCGCATGTTGGTGCACAATTAAGTAAACGATGTTTGTGGTTTGACTTATCTCAGGGTTTCAGTTGAGCGACAAGAGGAATAGAATTAGTTTTAATGTTATTACTAGATATTAGTTAGTTTACACCTGGAATAATGAAAAGTTCTCAGGGCAGAAACTGTTTTTTCTCAGTGTTATAGAAAGACCAAAATATCTTACAAACCATAAAACATGGTCAGTCTTTTGTTCTTCTTCTGCCACCTTTCCACTACTTTCAGGATCATCTTACACGCCTTCCTCCGTTTAAGAAAAATTGTAAATTCTGTCGACAAAACAGTGGCTTTACCAAAAAAATCTCTGTCCAGATGAGAACGCAAAAATGCTCCAGCAAGCATGCAGGTCGGCCGACATCATCGCCGAATTATTTCATCTGTTTTGTGATCTTTAAACCAAAAAAACTATATTACTTCAAGTAATACTGGACGCAGCAGATGCAGAAGCTTGAGTTTACAGATGTGAGTTGATTTTCCCAAAGTTTACGTTCAGAGTTTTTTAAAATCTTCAATTTAGAAGCATCTGAAAAAAATCTAAAAAGTAGTTTGTGTGTGGATAAGAGGCCCAGATGTATTAAAATCCTCCAAATAATCATCTTATTTTGAACAAGGCCTCAATTTTTGTGTCACTTGCATTTATTTTCTATCATTTCCAAACAAGCGTGTTCTTCAAAAATGCATCGAGTTTAGTTTATTTTCAATAAATTCTATTACAGATTAGTCTGACGTTTTGCACATTAAAGTAATTAACAAGGTTCTTGGAAACTCCACAGGATTCCTCCTCTGGGAACCGTGAACGTCTTCACTAAGTTTCATGGCGATGCGTCCAGTGTTTGTTGAGATATCTCAGTCCGAAGCGGCGGCCCGACAAACTGACCTCCACATGTTCTGCCAACGCGCCAAGATTAATGGTGACATCGCCGCAATTAACTCTGAGATATTAATTTACGGAAAACCACATCAGCAGTGACTCAGCTTCCTGCCAAACTGCACAGGAAATCCTGTGCACGCTGCTCGGCGCATCGCTAATTAGATCTGAGACTAGAATAGGGAGTCGTGTGGAAGTCGGCGAATTAATGGTCCCTCTGTTTGACAGCTCAGTTAACCGGAGCTGCAAACTCACGTGGCCTCAAAGTCTGAAGTCGTGAAATGAGTGATTGGAAACCTCCGAAGAAGCCGAATGACTTTTAAACGGCGTCTTCTCACACAGCGAAGGTTCACTTAGCGGCCAGAATGCGACGCTCGCCGAGAGAAATAACAAGATACCAGTTTGCGATGTGATTCCTCGTCTGTTTGAGTTTGTGTTGGAGGTTGCCGGGCATCTGCTGCTGGCAACAAGTGAACGCTCGAGTTCAGAGAAAAACGACGGCGGAGCAAAACCCTGGAAACATAGCAGAGATGCTTCTGCTGAGACTGTTTGGATTGTGGAGACGGGTCGGACTGGATGAGGTGCAACAGATTGGATTGAAACACAAGATTAAACAGCAAATTGAAGTGCAGCGAAGACAGACTGCACATGTTCGGCTTTTAAGTGATGAGTAAATAAATCAGCGTTAATGCACCGAGAGGCTTATATAACAGGGTTTAAGTTGGACTCGGTTTAGGTTCAGCCCTTTTGTGATTTCTTCCGTCCTTTCAAACAGTTTTACTCTCGGTCACGACGCTCCCAAGCAGCACTTTAATCACTTTAACATCCATCCAGGCTGATCACATTGCAGGTGGTGGCTGTCGCATGAGCAAAATAAAGACACAGGCAGGTTTAAACAGTGTTTTACAATGTTTACCAAATTCTGTTGTCCAAAAATCAACTGCAAGAAGCTCAAAAGTTTAGATTTTTGAGTTAATTTCATTTTTTTAAATAAACCAGTTAATGACTAAACATCCAGCCTCACTTTGACCTTTTTTCCTGGATCTCATCAGCGACTTATTATCATTAAATTACGAGCATCGGCGACTCATGATTTCTGTCTCCTCGCAGCAGCGACGGCGCTGCCATGGCATCGGGACCTCCAGACGTGACGACCAATCAGGAGCCTGCTGAGGTCCAGGAAGAGTGCTCAGGTAAGGGTTTGATTAAATGTTTGCCTCGTGCTTGATTGGATGTCATTAAAACCTATTCAGAGTGGATTACTTCACTGAAAAAAGGGTTTTGCATGTTTTAGCCTTTTCTTAAATTGTGGGTTTAAAAGGTCACTTAGTATGCAGCGAGTGTGAAAATAGGATTTTATGTTAATATTTCATTCTAGCAGTTCCTCTGCAGCAGATAGTGTAGATAACTGTGGTTATTGAATTAAATCTTTAGGATGTAAGTCCCATTTATTCTGTGCAGCTGCTTTAGTCCAGTCTGTGATCAAAGAGACAAAAGTTTATTCATCATGACGGTCAGACAGCTCGCTGAGCTTCTTTGCAAAAATATATATATATATGATTTGATGATTTAAATGTTAAAGTTAGAGACACCACAGATGACTTTTACAATCTTGTGTTTCCAGTTACATCCTGAGGCACAGGAAAGTTTGGACATTTGAGCAGAATATATCTGATTTGATTTAATTTTGATATCTGTGTGCTACGAAGCCTTGCTAAACTGTACAAAGACAAAGTTTGTGGTCTTTCTTTGCTTTTTTTTGCTTTTATTTTGGTAACTTCAAACTGCTTACAATTCAAGCTTTTGAATTTCATGCTTTTATTTTGTATTTTTGTTTGAAAGAAGCCCAAAAGTTTTTTAAAAATCTAAATGATGCATGAATAAAGTAATAATATAGAAACTTTTAATTTGTCACAGTTTTGTTTTTTGTTTTTTTACTCATTCATTCATCAGTCAGACCTGTACATGTTAGAAGAGGGGAAAAGGTGACAACATGCTCACTCCAAAGATTATTTAATTTATTTTAGAACACAGATAAATCCTTCGGAGAGATAAATTTATAACGAGAAGAAAACATTTTCTTTCAATAGTCACTTGTGCTTTATTGAATTTTGATTATTTCAACCACAATAGCAGCAAACTCCAATGATTCAATTTGTTAATTTATTCCTCGAGCCGATTACAGCAGAACAAAGATCTAATTGGCTCCAGAAATGTCACGTATTGACTTTCTAACGAGGCTGATGAAGGAGACGATCTCAAAGCAGCGACTGATGATGTTAAATGATAAAACCCTTCAGACACTCTTAAACATGAGTGACCTTGTTGACAACAAACGATCATCTGCATTTGTTTACAGACCGTTACGTTACCAGGAACTAACTGGTGCATGTTTTCCAAATCTCTGAGATCTCCTTCAGTAGCACAAAAATAGCCGGTGCTGATACTGACACTGTGAACTCAGAGGTTCCTTCTGCCTAATGTGAAAATAATCAGTTGTGAAGATGGTGCATGAACTTCTAAATCTCTGTGCAGCTGGTGGCAGGAAATGAAGCAACACACGAGGCTGTCCTCGTCTATCGCTCACATACAGACACAGTGAATGCAGATGGACAGCAGCACATATGGGAAAAGGGAAGACGTGCATCAGGAGGTCAGAGGAATATGTGTGGGGGTGTGGGAACTGTAGATTTGGGGATTTTTGGCCATGTTTTAGTCTGGGGTCCAGAGTTGGCCCTCTTGAACTAGTTTGTTGGGTCACGGCTGTCGACTTCTACGGCAGAGTTCACGGAAGCACAAATGGAGGCTTTGTGTGGGTTTGAACATCAAACTTCATTCTCTGGTTGCTCCGATAGCTCACCTGGTTGATCGGACACACCATGTATCCAGGTTCTAGTCCCTATCACAGCAGCTGGAGTTTGATTCACAGTTTGTTGCCTGTTTCTGCCTCTTTCTGCTCCACTATTTCCTGCCTGACCCTCACTCCTCCAATGCTCCTGTAGAACCAACTTTAGACTCATTTTTGGGGGAGATACTTCGAGGTTGGTACGTCTGAGTGACCTGTGTAGAGCTCAACTGGTTCACTAAGACCTGCACACTTTAGAGAAGTTAAAAAGATGACGCAGTATGATTTAATACACAACTACAGTGCTGCCCACTTTATAGAATATCCTGTTTATAATCATAAAATATCGAAGTCCCTGATCATTTCCTCTATAACTTCCAGTAAAACAGCCCGTTTACTGTCACAGAATAACGTCATAATCCGGGTTTGTGTCATAACGAAATTCCCAGAAATTGATTCCAGGAATAACTTTTTCCTGTTTGAAGTCATGGTCGACCGATCGTTCCGGCTCACGGGCCGAGCGTCGGTCATGCGTGGTGGATCATCACACCCCGGTCAGCTGCGGAAGGTGTTGTGTTGGTTTATTTGTCAGTTACCTGCTCATCTGAGATCTGATAACTGAGTTATTCAATGTCTGATGTTAATTAGGGTGCATCAGAGAGAATCGCGTGTTGTCACTCCTAACTGAACTGCTCAGCGAGTTAATCATGAGAAGTTAATCCTCTGATAAAAGGAAATAACTTTTATTGATGGGTGGCTTTAGTACCGACAAAGGTGAAGCAAAACCATAAAGCTCCGTTTGAATAAAAATGTGTTGATCTTCAAAGAAACTGTCCCTTTGATTTTGTGAAAACGTTCCCATTTTGGCTTAAAACCCCCATTTTTCATCACACAGACACAGTTTTCTCAGTGCTGTATCATTGCAGACACTTCAGTATGCTAATCTTGAAGCCCGCTTATTGGAATATCCCGGATATAGTCATAATTCCATCCTGGACCGAGGCTATGATAATAAACGGGCAGCACTGTACAACTTTAGAGTGTTTTGAAATCAGTCCACAACTAGAGGACAGCATGTTATTCTAATAATCACAGGTTTTATTGATTTTTGATTGAGCGAACGCCCCGTGTATCCAGGATATCGTCTGTATCACAATGGTTTGATTCCAGCTTGTGGTGATTTGTTGCACGTCACCGCCTCTCTGTTCCCTTATTTCCTGTCTCACTTCATCTTTCACTATAAATGCAAAAAGGCCACAATGATGTTTTATTTGCTAGTTTTACTTCTAGAACCTCTTTCAGGGCTGATTTGGGAGGAGATTCTTCTAGGTGGGTACCTCTAAGTGGCCCTGAAACATGGTGTGCATGGCTCAACACTGATTGGTTAAACTTGGGTAAAACAAACACTGATTGGTTAAACATACAGGATGACAAACACCATTTTTCTACCTTCTCGATGTCCTGGTTGAGGAGCAGCCTTTACCTCTCCAGCATCGCCACCAGAAACATAGACTTCTCTACATAGGCTGACATATAAAACCTCGTAACTACTATTCGTTATTGTTTTGGCGCTTGCACAGTTAACGTGGTGGTCGAGGCTTGTTGGGTTTTATGCAGATTGTGACTCAGTTCCTGTAAAAGTGAAGGCTACCTCACTCCCGCCTCAAGTTCCTGCAGTGAAAAGCCGCCTAATGTTAAATCTGAGATCAGTTCCGCTTCGTATTGACCTCAGCCAGCACTGAAACTCCCCGTTGCTGCTATTCTGAGTCTACAGTTAAATTGGCGACTTAGAGCGAGTCTATCAGAAAATTATAATATCTTACAATGAGCCCAGAGCTCCACTGACCTTCCAACTGAATCAACTCTCTATGAGCGCAGACCTTTCGCTTAATGGTGCATTGTGCCTAAAATAGCACAATAAATGGCACCGTCGGGTGGTGCTTCCCCTCGATAATTTCATCTCGGCCGTGCAGAAAGGCCTCTGAAGCTCCATCAAAAAAAGGCACGTTGGAAGCTCCTCAAGTGAACGCAGCAGTTCGCTTTGTGGTGTCGGACAAAAGAGAGGAGGGGAGAGTTTGCATCCAGCATTTCTGTGCAGACATTGGATGAAAGTTTACATTCGATGCGGTTTGCTTTAAGCTCGTATTTAGCGCTCCAAGACGGAAAAGAAACAGCTTGTGAGCGCAGTTTGGCTGTGACTTGTAGTTTTGTCGATGTAGCTCATAAAGCATCTCAAAAGAAAAAGATATATGATGTTTAACATGTTGTGACTCAGAAATGTTTTAACCCCGAGCACCGAGTGTAGATGCCAAACATTTTTCAGCTGTGATCCAACCAGAAAGCATATTTTTAGAGGAGAAGGAATGCTGAAGGATTCCCCGCAAGGACAAACATGACACAGCTCATCTAAAAGGAATGCATCTTTTTTTTTTTAAGTCTCTGCCAGAGCTTTTTTTTTATGGGTAGCCCAGGGATGTGAATTCTCAAAATAGTTTGATTACAGTTATTTTTCTCCTGGCAGCTCGTTTTTTGTTCTCCCCATGTCTCCATCTGTTTTTGCACCTCAGCGCTGTCCTGTCTCCGGGTTTGTCATGTGTTCATCCTCTGATCTTCACTTCACTTCCACTGATGCTGCCTTATTTTTTTTATTTTTATATCAATGAAGATGTCTCGGTGTAGAATCTCTGACTTCTCTGGTTAAGTGTTGCATATCTATGACACCGTTTGACTCACAGTGGACGACAACGGATCAAAATCACTGCAACAGAACCAAAGAAATCACCTTTTTCTGAGTTACAGGAATTCTTTTTCCTCATCAGAATCTTGTGACAGGTGACAAATTAAAGGAAAAAAATAGAAAAAGTACATTAGTGAGGTGTTTACGTGCCACCGGAACATCTTCAAAGCTACTTGATATTCATTCTCCAGGTTGTGGATTTTTTCTGAACATATTCCCTCATTTTGGTGTTTTGAGGATGGTGGTGGAGAGCATTGTCTAAATTCTGCCACAGTTGTTCAGTTGACATAAGATCCGTTGACCGTGAAGGCCATAACATATGAATCACATCATCTTCCCTTGTGTCCTGTGGATGAGGAGGTTGTATACCTGGACAATTTTGTTCCCCACTGGGACACAAACCCGCAACCTTCTTGCTGCGAGGCAACAGTGCTAACCAATTGCGCCACCCTGCAGCCCCATTTTCCATTCCCAGATACTGATATTACAGTGGATCTAAATGCAGATGTCACTTTTGTCACTGTTTTTATTAAATCAGCCGAGCAGCCTTTGTGACTGAAGCTCCTGCCATTTGTGCCCCAACACTGAACCCCATTTCAAAGTCTCGTAGATCTTTTCCTCTTGTCATCTTGATGCCAAATTGGACTTAAACATGTTGCACGTGCAGGTGTTAACTGCTAATTTGTGTGCTAAAAGAGCTGCATTGATTATGTTTCTACTTCAGGTTTTGCGTAGAATTTGTCAACAGCTTCTACATGACCTGCAGTGCAACTTGGCCTCAGCCATAGAAACTCCCATAATCCTCAGCTGTAGTTTGTGTATAGTTCTGGTAGTTAAGATAAGATGTGGTAAACATGATGCCTGTTCAAGTCAGTATGTTGGCATTGTATGGATTAGTCTTAAAACACAAGTAAAAGATCCACATGATCCTCTATAGGTGACTTTTTTTTTCTTTTTAAATTCAAACAAACCAGCAGCAGATAAATGTCTGGACAGTCCTGTTGCATGTGGGGCACATGGAGGACCGGCGGGCATTTTAACTTCTTGCTGAGCGCCTCGGCAACTTAAAGCAATGAAATCTGTTTGTAGCTGTTTAAGGAGTTATAAAAGAGCTGTTGAGTTTTCCACTGCGGCGCTAATGGAGGTGGACTCGCTGTGGGGGAGGATTTACAAGCAGGAGTTTGAGTGTTTGTGTACACGCTTCTGTCTCGGTGTGTGGTTCCTGGTGGACGGCCTACCTGCGTCTTTTACAGCCAGCGCAGGGCTAATTGCCGCGTAACCGCAGTTCATATTAGGGCAGTGTGTAAAGATGCCGTGAGTGTAATCTTCTCGTTAATAAAGCTCTGTGCAGTGAGTTGTAATGATGAATTTTTTTTTGTTTGTTTTTGGTTCTCTCAGGAAAAAAGAAGTCCAAGTTCCAGACGTTTAAAAAGTTCTTCGCCAGGAAGAAGAGAAAGGATCCGTCGGCCGCAGGAGCAGACGCAGCAGGACTTAAAGCCAGCCAGTCGAGCGACAATGTCAGCAAGGCGTCGGAGAACAACACGCTCACTCGGTCGGAGAAGGAGAAGGGCTCTGGGTAAGATCAGCCGACGGTAACTTACATTCGTCTGACATAATTACATACATGGACCGTAAACAGCTGTCAGCTGGACGGAGCTTCGTACGTATGTGTGGTTTATTGAAGAAATGGATCATTCTGCTTCTGAAAAGACAGAACGTCATGGAACAGATGCGCTTTAGATGAGCTGAAAAGTTCATTTCATGTATTTTTAGATTAACAAATATACACAGAAATCATAAAACTTTCTCTGAACGATGCGCTGAAATGGATGTGAACAAGTTACTTCTACTTCTAATAGTGTCACTGCATGTTTTTCCCACTTTACTTTACAAATACTTCATACTTTTTATTGCTGGCAACATCTTACCTGTAAAATGCTCAGACGTTCTCACCATGACAGTGGAAAAGCACTGAAAACGGTACTTACAGATTATAATGGAACCCCAAATCTGAAACCTGGGTTGGTCACGTTCCTTGTTTTGGTTCATTCAAACTGCAAGCTGACCTAATGTCGCTTCAGTGTTTGCTTTCATGTAACA